TAATTATTAACAGGATGAATTAGTCAATGAATAGTAAAGACTTGTAAATCGACAATAACATAACTTGCTGAAGTAGTTTGTTTTTTCGTCAGAAAATCCGATTGCATTCGATAAAGCTCTTCAGCATTAGTTAAAAAAATATAGAGAACGGTCAGTGCAACCAGTGGGTTGCATTCTAACAAAACAAGATTTAGAATTCACCCCATAACAGCTATATATAGTTTCATTTGCTGTCCAAATACAATATACATTTTTAAAAATAAATTATATTATTGTTGAAAAATATTATACTTTGTTTCCCAAAAAAATAAATAAAATTATATCATCAGAATATGGTCAGAAAATCCGATTGGTAATTTCATGTTTTTGAGAAAAATGTAAAAAGTATGTGAATGTGTGTGTGTTAATGAGTCACAATTTGAGCTTGGGAAGACGTTTTTTCAAAAAAGTCTGCGTTGATATAAATAAATTAAAAGCCATTTGATAAAACTCGATAAGGATTTGTCTCGATTTGTCTTTGTCTCTCGATCTTAAGGAAGTTGACCAGCAAAGAATAAGCGGCCAAAACTTTATGTCCAAGTTTTAACTAACTATAAGAATCTTGAAATGGTATTTGATAATTTGAAAACCGCTCAAAAGGTATCACCTGGGAATCAGGCTGATTAGTATCTCTTTCTGGTGAATAACGTCCGGGCCATTGCTTGGATTTTGTATATTTTTTGCGATTTTGATGAAACGATGATAAAGAACATAATATTGAATAACATGAACAAAATATCATAGACTCACGGAAGATGGTTTAATTTTAAAACAATCATCAAAGTCTCTAAACACCAAGTTCTATTGATTAAGTAGATTATACGCACGTTTCAGGAAAATTTGTGCTACTTGGTTTAAGGCAAACTGCCACTTAAACCTAGTAATAAATTAGTGCAATGATTGATGAATATTATAGTAGCCAAGTAACGACTTGACAATCTGAGACAATTGTTTGATAAAGTAATATATTTTTAATAAATAAGAGCGATAGTCGATGAACATTATAATAATAGTCCAGTCATTTAAGCTCAAATTAGGTAAGAATCTCGGAATTCGAGATACCCAGGTGTAAGTCTGTCAATACTTGTATATTGACACCCTATAAAGTTATCTCAAAACCTACATATGGTAGGATGTCAATACCTACTACATGTAGGTTTTGAGACAACTTTAGGGTGTAAATATACAAGTATCTACAGACTTAGAGCTGGGTATCTCGAATTCCGATGTGAATTTACTATAATGACTGGACTATAACTAATTATTATTAGATATTAAAATATTCATCGTACATACCTTACTAGTGTAAGGTCTAGTAAATTATGTGATTTGTTAATAATTTTTCAAAAATCTGTATTTACATATAAACCACACTTATCTAGTCTCAAATGAAAATTATCTATTATTAATTAATTATTATAAATTATCATTCTATTATCCAGGTGAAACGAGGTGCTTTCCACATACCACACTTTGTCCCTCCTGATTGCCAAGCACTTCTTCGAGGCATGATAGAAGTTGATCCTGATAAACGTCTACGTCTATGCGACGTCAACCGTCATCCATGGGTGACAGCCAACGGAGGTGCTTCAGGCACCGTCAATGGAGGAGGAGCCGTAGAGTTGGAGGCGCCCATGATGCAGAGGGTGCAGACCCACGTGATACCGTCCGCGCAGCAATTAGATGCTGATGTGCTCAGAGCCATTAATAGTTTAGGTTGCTTTAAGGTAATAGAAATAGATAATATACATTATTGGTGATAAAACATCACACTTGATTAGAAAAAAACTAGTTATAAGGGGCATTTTGCCTTAACGCTAAGGTGACCATATTTTTTTATGTCAAAACCAGGAAGGTAACTTATAGTTATGCTAATCCGAGACAGGGGAGAGGGTCTTTATATTAAATGACTTTAATATGATTTAAAATAACAAATATTATTTAGGTGGCGTCCATTAATCACGTGATCGATTTAAGGATTTTTTGACTCCCTTCCTCCTTGGAGATATATGTAGATATTCAAAATTAACCCCCTCTCCACCCCACCAAACATTACGTGTATTTTTAGTTACAAGAACAATTGTAAATGCTTTGATTTTTTTTGAAAATGTTAGGTTTTAATGTAGAAAATAAATAAACGTGATATCTTACTATACCCCTCCCTCCCCCACGTGATATTTCGTCATTTTTTGTCAAACTCTCACCTCCCCCTAAAAACCTCACGTGATTAAGGATAGAATACAAAACAGTTTTTTTTAATGAATCAATCTTTTTTAATCATACTTATCTACTTTTATCAAAAACTTTATTATTCAATTATATGTTTTAATCTTCTTTTATCTATGATGTCTTATATTTTTCGATCTGTATGATTTTTTCGCTTTTAGGCCTTGTAAAAATGTTTTTTCATAAATTCCATTTTTTCATAAATAACCTATAGTTAGTAAAACTTTTCGTAAAATTAAGAATGAAATTTTGAAATTATTGATGTGAGAGGCTATTTTAACCCTTCTTTGAAAATTTGAATTCGGAAATTATCTCATTCATCACGTATTGTTTTATATAATATACAATTTGCATGTATCTGATGAGCAGTTGTAATTTTATTATTAAGTAATTTCGAAAATATACTTTAAACCTATAATTTTCGAAAACGCGGGACAATCCGGAACAAAAGATCAAAATCCGAGACAATTATTGCTTATAGAAAAATCCGGATGGAAATCCTGGACTGTCCAGGTCAAACCGGGATGTATGGTCACCTTCCTTGAGGCATATTGTATCAGCTTTCTGATATGAGTAAAAAACATCTTAATCCAGAAGAATTCAGATTTAGCAACTTTTAATATTATAATGAGAATTTTGAATTTTTACATGAAAATTATAGGAAAATTTTAATGAATTTTTCTAACTAAAGTATGGGCTCATTATGTTTTAGCGTTTTTATTAAGACCATGAACTTTATTGCCATAATGTTAATTAAAATTGTCATTTAAATTATGGACTGTATGAATAAGTATTGCACTGTTGTGGTAATTCCATATAAACGATTTGGCCAAATATTTCATCAAGAATAATTGTCGAGTTTTATCAAATATCTTTAAAAATTTTGAAATCGGTGCAGCCGTTTTTAAGAAAATAAGTAATAAACATCGACAAATTTTGGTTCAGCACACACACATACTCTTCCTCCAATTTTGGTCTCAAACGATTCAGAATAACTTAAAACTTTGAGAAAATTCAGCAAGTTTAATTTTCTTCGACAAATTTTGGTTCAGCACGTTTGGAAGAAGAGTGTCCTCCAATTTTAGTCTCAAACTATTCAGAATAACTTAAAACATTGGGGAAACTCAGCAAGTCTGATTTTCTTCCTACTTCGGGAAGTTAAAACAAAAAAAAGGAAGAGTGTCCTCTAATTTTGGTCTCAAAACTCAGCAAGTCTAATTTTCTTCGACAAATTTTGGTTCAGCACTTTTTTAAATTATAAAGGGTCCTTCAATTTTGGTCTCAAACTATTCGGAATAACTTAAAACATAGGGGAAACTCAGCAAGTCTGATTTTCTTCCTCCTTCGGGAAGTTAAAACAAAAAAAAGGAAGAGTGTCCTCTAATTTTGGTCTCAAAACTCAGCAAGTCTAATTTTCTTCGACAAATTTTGGTTCAGCACTTTTTTAAATTATAAAGGGTCCTTCAATTTTGGTCTCAAACTATTCGGAATAACTTAAAACATAGGGGAAACTCAGCAAGTCTGATTTTCTTCCTCCTTCGGGAAGTTAAAACAAAAAAAAGGAAGAGTGTCCTGCAATTTTGGTCTCAAAACTCAGCAAGTCTAATTTTCTTCGACAAATTTTGATTCAGCACTTTTGGAGGAAGAGGGTCCTCCAATTTCTATTCAGAATAACTTAAAACTTTGAGAAAACTCAGCAAGTCTGATTTAGTTAAACAAAAAATAAGAAAAAATTTCTATATCTCAATTAAATTATTATTTTATTTCCAGGAACGTGATAAACTTGTTCGAGAGTTGCTATCCCCTTGTCACAACACAGAAAAGGTGATATATTTTTTACTTCTGGAACGAAAACGAAGAAGACCTGCCTATGAAGATGACTCTAACATTGGAATAGCAGCTAGTGTTGGAAGCACGGGTAAATAGATATAACTAAAAGTCATTATATTGAAAGAAACTTTCTAACCATACTTGGTAATTAATGACTCATGGTAATCATGACCGATTAAAAATAATTTGTTTTGCTTCGTAAGATAATAAATGATAAATTTATTCTTTCCAAGATATCAAAATAAAATTGACTATAGAAGAATTAGTTGTTAGTTAATAATATTAAATTTTGTATTAATAATTGAATATTACACCAGGCGGAACTGGACTGATTGACCCTCCCCGGAAACGCTTGGACACGTGTCGAATAAACGGAAGAGCAGCCATGACTTTTGCTCAAATTAGCGAAGGAAGTCCGATAGCTCCAAGGAGACTTTATTCACAGTGTGTATTTTTATCTTTTTATTAATTACTTCTGCTAATTAATGCGAAAAAAAATTAATTATTATAGTTCACTTAATTTAATTTAAATTTAATTAATTATTTTAGATATATGTGTTGTGATTCTAGTTTTGGTTAATTGATACTTTGATTGTTTTTTCACATAGTATAGTGTTTGATGAAAAATCTTTAATATCAAACAAAAGACTTTGATCCAAATATTGCAAAGAAAAAACTAAGTTTATTTTTTTTATAACAATTGTTACATATTTTGAATGATTTAAAAAATACATAATATTAACTAAAATTAAATATAAATAAACAACCATGTTGAGTTATAAATACATCTGATTTTTTTCTGGCTCATGAAAGTTTTTAAAATATAGTTTCTTTTTTCTTAACTTAAAACAAAACATTTTTATTTACTATATGTTTTAGAATACAAGTGATCTGAATAAATTTTAAATTACAAATATTAAATTCATTGTCTTTTGTAAGTAAAAATATCACATTTGACTTCTTGTTATTAATTTTGCAGAATAGGAAGTAGAATAAAAGTTGAAATACATGGTTTTTGCCACTATTTATTTTTTTCAAAATTATGTAATCAAATCTGCTTTTAGTTCATGTTTTTTCAATCCCTATTGTAATAATAAAAATTATACTTATTGTGTTATATTATATGTGATTATTTTTTTGTTATGTTTATTATGTGTTTCTTATTGTTTTTTTTTATATGTTTAATTAGATGTATGGGCTGATGATTAATTTAATTTGGACCATTATACTGATGAAGCTCCTTGCACAGTTAGTATTTTTATTTATATATTTATTTATGTATTTAGTAATATCTATTTATTAATATTTTTTCATTGCCAGGATTTATTTGTACTCATATTATTATTATTTTAAATCTTTTCTGACTGTTATAAATTGCTGTAGAAAATGAACATATGTTAATTTTAATAAATTTCTAATATTAACCATTTAATTTTGATTGGTTTATTTTTTTTAAATATTTGTCTGTTGATTTCTTTAAATATTTAGTTTATCTTATATTTTGCACCATATAATGTATTATATATATTTTTTACTTAAGAATATATTTATTTATATGAATATAGTACCATAACATTTTAGTAAAATTTAAGAGCAAAGTCCTAATCTATTTCATAGTTCTAATTCTATCATACCCTTATATAAAGGGATTAGGGGTACTTGAAATTTTTGAAAAATCGATTATTGTTTTTTTTTGCATTTTCATAACCTTACCTTTTCCTCCAGCCGACAACATGGATCAAGACGGACGCCCAGTGTGGGTCCAGTGATGACAACGTCAATGACTTCATCCAGCGTCACCTCACCAACGCGTCACCATGTGGTGGCTTCTTCGGCTTCTCCATTAACTTCATCCACAGGGGTGACATCGCCTGGAGGAGGCATGGCACCATCGGTGATGTCAGCGAGTGTGACAGCAGGATCGACGATGAAGTCGCAGGCTGCGCAGACCCAACAACTTACGACGCACCTGCAACAACAAAATGTAAAAAAATAAATTGTTTCGATAGCATATATTTATATCGTTCCTACTAATTATAAAACATATTGATTATAATATTTAATAGAAACTGCAAGTTGGATCAACGTCTACGTCAACACCAATGTCACCGATGCTAACAGAAGTGATAGACAGTGATGTACTAGCAGGACTGAATACTGGGTAAATTATTTTTTCCAACTTTGTCAAATATAAATTATTAAAAACAGCCTTCATAAATATAAGTTCAATGGTCAAATCCAAATTCCTTACTTAGAGATCACGCATAGTGATGTCAAATATACTTTGACATCACTTTAATCACTCTTGCTCATTCCAAATTCATATATTTTTTTAGATCATTATCTGCAAGTAGTGCAGGATCAACGCAACACTGGAGATCTCGTCTTAACACAATTAAGAATAATTTTCTGGGCTCACCCAGATTTCATCGTAGGAAAATGCAAGGTAAAAATGCTACTTCTTATCATTATGGATAAAGCTTTTACATATTGTTCTATTTAAGAATTATTAATTATCATTAATTATTATGTATTCTAATATTGCATAATTCTTTTTTTTTCCAGCGTCGTCTGAGGAGGTGCATTTGACGCCAGACTCGTCTCCAGAGCTTACGAAACGTTCCTGGTTTGGATCATTAATGTCTGGAGAAAAAGATGAAACTTTCACGGTTCTAGTCAAAGGAAAACCACTTGCAATGGTTAAAGCCGACCTGATACACGCTTTCTTGTCGGTAAGAAACATTAAACAAGACAGACATCTCAGCTTTGACCTCAATTTTTTCCCAAAATATTGTTTGTATATTCGAATAACAAGTGAGAAAATCCATTTTTACCAGGTTTCGGAACTAAGTCATGCAGTTCTGTCTGCATTATCATTTCGGGTGGAGTATAAACGGGGCAGTGGTACGCCTTCGGCTGTTTTTCAAAGACTGGTGCGATTTCAAGTTGATGTTGCTACTATTGTTCAACCTCCTCAAATTTCTGGAGACGGGTATGTACAGGATTATAATGGAACTAAATTTTAAAATATAATTCAAAATTTAAATATTACCTGAATACCTATTGCAGGAACCATCCTGGATAAAATGTTCAATGAAATTTGTCTGTTTCAGGAACGAACAATCTAACTGTGATCAAGCTTTGCATGCCATAACCTTCACTTTATTATCAGGCAGCGCCCGAAGATTTAGGAGAGTCTGTGAACATATACAAGCCCAGGTAAGTTATTAGATGTACATTTAAAATAAGCCAAGAATTACTAGATCTTATCAAATCCTATTAATTAAACCCAGAAAGAAATACTAGTTGTTCTATTATCACTCACCTTTATTTTTTATTAGGTGTGCAGACGAGGCACCCGAGGTGCTGGTGGCGTAGGCTCAATGAACACCAACACGAATATGATCTGCAGCAGTGCTATTCCTCCTATTGTTAGTCAAAGTTCTAGTTGCGGATCAGAGGATTCTAGTGAAAGACTGTGCTATACCAATGCGAACTCCAGACAGGTAACAATTGATTTCTGGTGATAGGCTATGATATTGGATAAAAATTATTTGGATATTGAGTATCACATTAGTAAAGATATAGAAAAAATTGAATAAAGGCGATTGGCATAAAGTCCAGTAAAACAATGCAATAGTAATAGTGCTTATTGGATGAGATAGTGGTTGTGAGTGATTTGCTTAAATGGGCGTACTCACCTAACGAACAAGGACGAACGAACGTGACGAACAAGTAAGTCTGTAAATATTGTCTCAAAACCTACATATGGTATTGACATCCTACCATATGTAGGTTTTGAGACAACTTTAGGGTGTCAATATACAAGTATTTACAGACTTACAGCTGGGTATCTCGAATTCCGAAATTCTTACCTAATTTAAGCTTAAATACTGGACAAGGTGAAAATGCACCTTAATAAATTCTAATAGTTGATCTGTAAAGATCTAAGAGTATAGGAGAAACTGTTGACAATGATTACTTACATAATTGAAAAATATTAATGTGTTGTTGTTTACTTAATGAATATACATACCTCCATATCTTACTTTGAAGTTTTGGATTTGTGTTTTTTGAGTTTCTCTGGATATAAATTATTGTTCCTCAATAAATATGTAGAGCAAATCATTCACCATCACTTACCTATTCAAAAACTAGTAAAAAGTAAAAAATACCTTGATACCACCTTGTATTTCGGTTTGCCTAAAAATATTATTCTATCGCTCAGATTTCTGGCTTATTCTCATGTAACATATCTATATATTGCCAACATCAGATCGATTCAGACTTAGAATCAGACACGTCCTCCCTGTACGAATCATCCTCCCACCATCGGCCAAGACGTCTCTCAGCAGCAAGTAGTGGAAACAACAACAACTCTGGTGGCACCGCCGTCAACAATAGTTCTGCTACATCAGTCAACAATGTGACGTCGTCTGATGGGTTAACGTCACCATTAGCAGCAGGAAGCAATACTGCTTCCGGAAACAATATGTCTGCGGTACGATCCAACAGTGATACCAATGGTGATAGTGCGAAACAAAAGCAGCAGGAACGACAGCAACGAGCACGGTTGGCAACAGTTTCGGGCAGCGCAATTGCGTGAGAGGAAACTGTTACATTCTTAGTTTGATTTGCCATATAAATTGTTAATTTGTGATAATAGTACTACATCTGGTTATTGAACTATAGCTCTTGTAGGTTTATCGATTGTTTTGAATTTGACTATGGCATCCGAGCAAATTAATAGAATAGTCAAACCAAGTAAAAAGCTATTTTTGGTCAACAGTTTTCATTGTGTTGAATTTGGAATAGGAGTAATGGCCCTATAACATTATAAATAAATTCTATTCCAAGTATATGTTTATTCAGTGCTATTTAGAACCAGCAATATAGTTCTTAATTGCCAGTAATTGGGATATTTATACATATATATTTATTTATTTATATACTGAAAAGTTTTACCAGGCATCCATCCAATTATTAAATGAACAAATTAGGTTTAAAACATTTTTAATTAAGCTTGCAAACGAGCCTTGGTTTAGCTCATCTTCAGTACAAATAACGAAAATGATTTAGATAAAATTAGAGACCTAACAAATTAATAAAATGGACCTAAACAATTACCAGTAAAGTGATTTAGCTACAACCTGAAATCCACAAGTTGAGCGTGACATGATGTGAATCTATGTGAATTCAGATGCTACACTTGACTGTTGTTTATGAATATGAACTGAGTTGAGTTGCAAATTTTAATATGTTTTAGTAACTAAGTAGAAACTTTGTGAATCATTTAATAAACGGATGGATGCATGAAAATACTGTTTATTGTGTTATCATATATTTATATTTATTTATTTTATTATTTATTAGTAACAATAATTATTGCTCATTGGTTTGGAGAAAGCATCAAAAGAAATTTAGGAGGAACTAGAAAGATATACTTAAAATGATCATAACTGAGTACGACAATTAAATATATGAACGTCATATATAAATGTACCTATATAGATAAGATAAACTGCAAATGGCAAGTTTATAAATAGTTAATTATTGTTACTTTAAATACGAAAATACCATTAAAGGTATCTTGTTTTGTTTTATGTTTATTATAAGAATATATAAATCATATTATTAATGCATTTACGTAGATGGATTTCTGATAAGAGTGCATTCGAGTAGTGATATATGATTCTTTTGCTATAAGAATATATTGAAATCATTTTACATTAAATTGTTATGAAATATTCGGTACAAACAACATTTTCATTATTATACTGGCGTTAGAAAATGTAATGGATTCTTATTTGAAACCAAGAATCACATAAGAATTTACATAACTTTGGGCATATATGCTGAACTGATATTGCAGGTACTAACTCTAATTGAATATATTAAATTATTGTAGCTTTTGTTTTGAAATATTTTTTCGTCTCATCTTATAATTTATTATAATATATATAGTAAACAAAATCTGATTAGAATCCAACGAGGTAAATCTATATTTGTATGACTCTTACCAGAAAACAGTTCTCGTTGTTATATTGCTACTCTTACCAATAAATACACAACATTATATATATATATATATATATATATATAATATGTGTGTGCAAAATGCAAAAAATATTGCAAGATGTAACTTATTTTCTAAAATATAAATAAATTAAATATGAACAAGAACATGCAATAAAATCGAAGCCATAGAACTTCACATGTGAAATCGAAAGTTAATCCTGAACTATTAACTCTAGTACTACATTTGTGAAATTCATTGTTTATAGTCATTTTTATTTTCATTTAAATGTCGATATTAGTACAATTATCGACAATAGATTCAAATAATTAACACTTTATATTTGTAAAACAAATCAAAGCTACTAATCATTAATATATGTGTTTGGTTTGCGGAGTAGCTGTATCATATTTAAGCATCTATTTGTAAATAACTTATAAACATATTATTAATAATATTTATAAATTAATTTAAATATTTGTTAAGAATATTTTATTTATACCTGGATATAGTGAGTAATTAGTTGATTTAAAAATCTATTTGAGTTGGAACGTTTTGTAAAATTTAAAATAATCGTTTTATAATTTAAATCTTGAATGTGTTGAAATATATTATGAATGTTATATCGTTTAATATATAATAATTTAATACTAAGTACCTATCAACTGTCCATGAAATAACATATTTTCATAAAAACCATTTTTGATATCATGGGAGGTGAAAGTTTGGATGCAATCTTTAATAGAATATTTCTAGATTCGTAATAATTCATTAAAATATAATATTACAATTTTATTTCAATGAATATAAATTGTATTAATTGTAGTTAGTCTCAACATTATGACTTGAAAACATTGTTTAAGATTTTGTAGATTGTGATGAGTTGGAAGCCTCCTGTATTATATTATAATATATACATGTGTATATCTGCATATTTATATATATATATATATATATATATATATATATATATAATGTATGCATTCCTAAATAAATTTATACATATACATATATAACTAAAGTAAATTAAAATACAATCTAATACATAATGTACAAATTAATTCGTCATTTTCGGCACTAGTTATGTATCATAAAACATACATCATTGACTATTAATATAAAGACATTTTTCATTCTAGCTAAGTGCAAAAGCTTAAGTTTGGCTTCATAATATTATTATGTTAAGAATATTGTTCTCTCATATTAGGCTTAAGAAAACGCATCGAAGGGATTTCCTTTGAATTAATCATTTGTTAAGATATAATTTGCACAGAATATATATATATATATATATATATATATATATATATATACCTGTGCATGTGTTTGGACATATATAACCAGATATCTAAAGCTATTAATATAAATATAAATTTGCCTTTTTGATTGTATAATATATAATGTAATGAATGCTTGCAAATCATATGTTTTCTAATCCTAGAAAAGTTGTATGCTGAATAAAACAAAATGGTTATTGCTATAATTTTGTCTTTTAATTAAGATCTATTCACTCATCCTAATCTCTTTAATAATATATATATGTACAGTGTGTCCCAGAAATCAAAATCAAGCCAAAACGGAGTGACAGTATTGATTGTGACTATTATAAAAAAATAAATCTTTTTTATCCCATGCACTTTGAAAGTTATAAGTTTTTAGTTTAAGTCCAAACTAGAGCTCAAACCGTGGTCAAACCGTGGCCATTTTTCGGTTAATAATATTCCTAAGACCACAGTCAAAAATGCAGACACAATTGCCCAAACTTTTCTACAATTAAGACTATTTGTTAAACTATAAGTTTAAAATTTTCAAAATTGGCCGACTTTAAATTCTCTGAAAAAACTTACTAAAGTGTCTTGGCAAATTCCATTAAAAGTTTGCGAGTTGTCTAATCTAATAAAAATTTAATAACATATTAAATAATAATAATATACTATTTGATAATATAATAATAATGAAATAATAAAGATTGAAGTTCGATTTAAAAAAAAAAAAAAAACTTACAGGCATGCAGGATCACTCAGAGCATATTCAACAGCATGTTCCAAAGAAAGCCAACCGGCATTATATTTCTCACATTTCTGCTTCATATTTCAAATTAGATTTTTTTTAAAAGTTTCTGAGTAACCATAAAAGTTCATTAAATCAAGGTCTTCATGATTTTGTATCTCTGTATTATTGTAACACTGGAAAAGCACTGATTTACATAACAAAAACTATTAACTAACACTAACACTAAATTCACTTTTTCTGTGAAAAACAGTATATTAAGGCACCAATTTCGCACCAATTGTGGCTAAACCTGGTCATTTCATAATCCTTATTTTACTAAAAAAGAATTAGTTTGATCTTCTAAAGATAAATATTTTTTTATTCCTCATCAATAATTATAATCAATTATAATCATATTTTTGCTAAAATTAAGAAGTTAGCGAAGTAAGTTTTGCTAAAATTAAAAAAAGTTAGCCAATTAGTTACTTCTTTAAAGATAATTAAATTAATTAATTCTTTACTTTTTTACACTTTTTTTATGCAGTTGTTTATATATTTAAAAAATTTACAAAAATGATTTAAAAATTTAAAATTTAAAAAATGATTTAAAAATTAAAAATTTAAGAGATTTTAAAAAAAAAATCTAAAACATATTGTGTTTAGTGAGTTGTTTGGAATTTATTAATAAAAAAATTTATAATTATTACTTGTTAATTATTAACTGGAAAAAAATCCGATTTATCTAAAATTATATATTATATATTTCCGTATAAAAATTGCTTTATAAATTATATACATTTGTTATTCACTCATATATATGTATATATATATATATATATGTGTGAGTTTCTATATACATACTTTCATAATAATTTACATATTATCCATAAATCGTTTACTTGTACTCTTTATTAAGAGCTCTTCCTATTAATAATCGCCTTACTTCTGATGTACCAGCACCAATTTCATATAATTTGGAATCTCTCAAAATTCTCCCGGTAGGGTAGTCATTGATATATCCATTACCACCTGAAATCAAAAATATTTGATAATGAATAGGTATAAAACTATTTATTACACAAAATATTAATTATTTACCTAGAACTTGGATTGCATTTAATGCGACTTGTGTTGCGTTCTCTGCAGAGTACAAAATAACACCAGCACAGTCTTTACTATTAACTTTTCCTGCATCACATGCCCTTGCTACAGAATAAACGTAACTTCTGCAAGCACTCAAGGTAGTGTACATATCAGCCAATTTGCCTTGCATTAATTGAAATTCACCAATTCGAGTATTGAATTGTTTTCTAGTATGTGCATATTCAAAGGCAATATCACAAGCTGCTTGCATGAGCCCCAAAGGACCACCAGCAAGAACTAATCTCTCATAGTCTAAACCAGACATAAGAACATAAACTCCTTTGCCTTCTTCACCTAAAATATTTGCTGCTGGAACCTAGAATAAATAATTTATTATAAGAAAAATAAGAATATAATCAAAGAGGTCACACAAATTTTATCCTAATAAATATAATTTATACCTTACAGTCTTCGAAAACAAGTTCAGCAGTATTTGAGCCTCTCATTCCAAGTTT